GTCGTATTGAAAGGCAATCCCATTACTTAGCCATATGCTGCTTAAACGGCCAATTGCCCGTGCAAACCAGTGTCAGCAATTCTCAAGACATGCCAGTAGAAAAAAACATACTCAAATTAATTTTATGAGACTTTACAATATTATTATTTTCTAACACTTACTAAACGCTGCTGCTTATGAAAATTAATCACAAATATTTTGGAAGAGAAAAAAATTAAAATTATTCGTACATCTATGTGTATGTATATATATACTAACAACATATAAACTGATTTCAATTTAATTTCCCATTTTGTTATGCTACTATACACTGACGTAACTAAATTTAAAATTAAAAAAAAAACAAAGGTAAAAGTGATTGAAAATCAATTTTATGTAAAATTTAACACCTGTTCCGTATTAAATATGAAATGAAGGAAAAAAAAATTTGAAATTTTTGTGTTTTTTTTTGCTAATTTTAATCTGATAACTAAATTAAATAAAAGACAATAAGATTATAATATATGTAGCCAGTTTGAAATAGAAGATTTTTTTTTTGCAAAAATATTTGAGAAAGTTCATGAAATTTGATTTTAAAACCATCAACATTTTGGTAACTTCATCTGTCAAATCAGCTTTTCTTGAAAGATTAAAAAATTAATTTTTTTCAGTGATTAACGTATATATGTTTTTGACAAGGTATAAATAATATTCGTAATTAATACGTAAATATATACAAGTACGTATACACAATGTATAATATAAGAAGCTTCAAAACTGCAATATGGAAACTACAATAGAAACAGCAGCATTTTGTAATTAGGCATAAGCGTTAATTGTATTTTTGGCTAAATATTGTAAAAACAAAATCTTAAATAATGTCTTGTAATTTAAAATTTTACCATATTTATCTTAGTATATACATAAGAGCATATTAGCCTATAACCTTAAGGTGTATGACATCCGGTTACATCATATATTTTTATACTTCATTTCATCCTATATACGTTTACATCTCATATTAATTTCTCATATACATTATGTATGATAGATGAATAGTTTTAATTTAGAAATTAGTAAAAGTTTCATTAGCATAAACAGCATAAATATATGATTAATTATGAAAAATATAGTATCGTGACTTTTCGATGATGCGTGTATACATAGGGAAAGAGATGGAGAGTAATACATGACAGTAACATTCCCTTTTATATTTATGTACTGTTTGTTCATATTTACACTGCGTCATATAAGGTATTATGATATATTACGTAAATATATAAAATTTTGTAAAAATAATATATATCTACATATATATATATAAAATATGTATGCGAAAATTAAATATATCTTAATGCATAATTATTTAATTTTAATTGATTGTTTATAAAAAAAATTAATCAACTTTTAAAATTGTAATTTAATGGGAAGATTTAAAAATTCAGGAGTTACAAATCATAGGCTGAGTTTTGAGCTATATGCAGCAAAACTGAATATTTTTTTAGGTGTTTCTCCATATTTGTACAGCATATATGATGATGCTATGAAACATTGAATGATTCGTTTATATGTAGTTCTGATGCAAGATTTTTATCTATTTTACTCTATCTAATTTGCTCTTAAATTGATGAAGCTTTTATGACTCCATTCAATTACAGAATATAAGTCAAGCACACAATACAATATATGAAATTTCCCAAATGTCACTCTATACTACAATATCATCACAACATGATTGTGTCGGTTTCACACAAAATTATTCGAAATGAATGAAAAATACCCCCAACGGTATGCAATTTTTAATATTATTTGTCACTTTTACTATGTATAATGTTTTGAAATTCTTTTAAATTTTCCATTTTTTTTTATTTTTTTTTTAATAATTTATACCAATAAACTAAAACTACTTAAATTTCTTTCACATAATTAATCCGTTTAATTTAATTACAATGATTTCAATAAAAACGAAACGTCAAATATGGAAAGTTTTCAATATTAAAACAAATAAAATTAAAATTTAATATTATAACGTTATTAAAATGAACGACGTATTTAGAAATGACAACTCAAGCAGTGCAATTTCCTTAAAATAAAAATTTAGTACAATACAAAAGTATGGTAAAATCTAATAATAACCTTCTCTCCACTTGTTTTATATAAAAAATGTAAGTAAATTACGAAAAATGATTTTATTTTTTTATTTTATATATTCTGCAATTTAACATAATGATAAAATATACTATTAAAAAATTAAAAATAAATTATGTAATTATACTTAGTAGTTGCGAAAGCGAAAGGAAAAAAAAAATAAATATTTCATCTGTCATAAAGTTGACATTTAAATTAAATATTTAAATATTTCTTTTCGTATTCAAAAAAAAATTAAGAAAAAGAAACAAAGAAAAAATTTTATTTAAAGGTTTTTTATGACGATTCATTTAAAATTCACCTTAATTTGCACTACCAATAAAGTGTATAGGTACCTATACCTACCTTTTATATATTTTTTTTTAAATATTTGATTTAAGCCTACACCTTAAAATTTTCTTTGATTGTTTCACGTATACAAGAAAATTTTATTGCGTCATTTAATGCCATTTTGTGCTTAATAAAATCATTAACTATTTTAACAAAATTTCTTTAAAAAATTAAAAATTCATCATAATTTCCATTTACACTCTTCTTTAATAGTTTTTCACGTAGGGCTTAACTATGTAATCTAATTTAACACTATATATAAAGTTTGCCATAATGTAGATAAATGCTTATTTAAGTTTACTGAGAAATATATCAAAATTATGTAAGTGAAAGTTTTGTTTTCTTCATCAGTATTTTTCATTAAAACGAGTTAGTTTTTTTAAATCAGCAGTAACAACTAATTGGTAGTATATGATTTTGAAAAATTTTAAGTTAAAAATTGAAAGTTCATTTGACTTATTCAAATAACAGATATTTTTCCAAATTTTCAAAGTAAACCCTTCAATTAGTACTAGAGGTCGGACTCGGATAACTACAAAATTAAAAAACAAGAAATATTCTTACAGTAAACCGGTATATTTCTATTTTTTCATATTTTATACTAACATGTACTTTGCTGTTAGTAGGGTTTTTGCGTTCAACCGGATTGCAATTATCCGGTTCAATTGTACTAGCAGTTCAACGGTTTATACCCTTTCTGTCATTTACACACGAATGTTTTGAATTTTCACATTATATTTTTCGAGCGGGTACACTGAATAATTTACACTAAATTGTTGAGTACCATATTCTATATTACATATGCATCCTGAATTAAAATACGATTTTTGTTTTGAGATGGTAAAAATATTCAATTACTTGGGTTTAGTTCTTGATAGTGAGGAAAAATAGGTAGGGCATGTGGAACATGTAATTAGGAAAATTTCACCTTATATGTTTTTATCTTTAGACGACTTTGAAAACAATTCTCTGCTGACATGTTGATTTCAATTTTCGTTCCTATATGTTTTGTCGAATATCTATAGTTTACTTTAATCTTTTATAGAGTTGGATATCACAAACTCTCTTGGCTAAATTAAATGTAATTTACAGAGCTTCAAATTTAGGATCTAAATTTTAACTTATTTTTCATTTTTTTTATATAAAATATATTTTGTAAGATTTTGCAATTTTTCAGTTTTGAATTAAATAAAGAAAAACAAATAATATTTAATATTTCCCAAAATGTCAACACCCTGATTTTCATTTTGGCATTAACTTTAAATTTTACGTATTCGCTTTCACTTAAAGGTTATCATCGTAAATTTTAAATTGATCTTTTAAAATAGCAAATTACTTTGTTTTGATATATTATGCTTGTAAAATTCATATTCATATTAACCGTTATACAAAGGAGATCGTGCTGGTATAATATTTTATTATAATAATTTTTATATGATCATGTAAATCAGCCTTTATACTCATATTATATTTGAGAACAGCAAATTTTCAAATCATTTTTTAATGTATATACGTGCATAACATAATATACTTAAATTAAATACATGATAATATGACGTATGCACCTGACTAACTGAATACTAACTACAATATGAATTACATACTAGAGTATACAATACGGTTATGTGTACACATTATACTTGGACATGAAAATTTTTTTGTAATAATAGCAATTCAAAAAAAAAAAAACATTTAATTTTCAATATTTTTGTTGCCGTAAATAATTGATGTTTAATCATTTTTGTATATTACTGTTATGATAATATTGTTATGCTATATATGTTTAGTTTGCATGCATATTTTAAACAAGTTCAATAAATTTCATAAAAATACATTCATCAACAACTATTTTCAAATCATATAAAAGCTTGTAGGAGGAAGTTGCAAAAATCTGTATGTATGTTATAATTTTGCGTGTTTTGTTATTTTTTATTAGATATTTTTCAAAAACATAATAGCAAGGAAAATACATACAATTATATACTAATTTTAAGTTTAAAGATGATTAAAAATTTAATTTGAAGAAATTAAATCTGTAAAAATAGATCTGTGGTTAGAACGAACAACTGTTTATGTCGACTCCAGTTCATTTTTTTAGCTAATCCGGATTCTAAATAGTTTAACTGTTTTTCTGTAGGAATTTCTGCAAAATAGAATTGCAAAAATTCACCATTACCAAAATGAAATCATGAATATAGTAGAATTATTTTTCGACTTAGGTAGTTTTTCGTTAACACCACAGAACTGCTCGATAACTTATTAAAAAAGTAGTATTCAATTAACGTTTAAATACCTGATAATTATAATTTATTTTTATAGTTGCTTTTTTTGTACTATTAAGAGGTTGATGCAAAAATATTGGTCATGCTAAATTTAAATTTAAATCGAATGATCATTTAAAAATTTGTTTTGTTTTTCTAATTTATTTCCGTCTTTAGAGAATGCTTAATTAAATGTTTAAAAATTTAATTTGAATTTTTTTTGAAAAATTACTAAAATTTTAAAAGCTGTTGATTAATATTAAAAATATGAATGTGCGAACATGTGTTTAAATTTTAACAAATTAATATTGTTTTAATAATTTCACATGAATGTTAAACTTTACTTTAAAACATGAATAAATATTAAATAAAATGTAATTCATAAATTTATTTAAGTGAAGTTGTAAAACGCAGGTAGACGTACTGCAATTGTTGAAAGTTTTATGAGTTCGTTGTAATCTCAACTAGCCTTCCCTCAGAATTCCTAAAATATAATTATATTAAAGCTTATGTTATATTGCGTAGAACATTTAAAATTTATATGATACATACCAATTCATGGTCTTTAAACAATATTTTTTATGGTATATATGTTTCTGATAATCAAATATGCGTAAATAATGTTACTAGTATATGATTTTCCAAATTAACCGAATTTAAATACCCGCATTATCAACCATCGAGATCATTTATAACTCCAATTTTATTACTACATCATTAAATGATATACAATATATGTATATGATCAAAAATAGTATCACAAATTTGCCATTTTGTACACCATTCCGTTCAAATTTTTCGAATTGACCATTCTGATATATCAATAAAAAATAAATTTCCAATAGCGTCCAATATTTATTGATAATTGAATTGTCAAAATAACTCCAAAAACACAAAATTCATTTATTGTGAATTAGAATCACTATTTCCATCTACTGGAAAAAAATAACATAACTGCAGAGATCATCTACGCATTTGTTCGAAGTAGTGTAATTGTGCATTTGTTCGAGATAGTATAAATGGAACTCAAATAATATTTTTTTGACATAATCCTAAAAAAAAAACAGAATAAGTAAAAATAAAAAATAAATTAAAACTTACCGTGATGTGGTTCCCATATTATTACCGTTTCAATTCAAGTATTGAAAATAATATTTAGTTTACATTTAGTAAGCGAACGATCCTCCGCTTTATTGCTTAAAATTTGAAAAATTCTAATACTTTTATTTTTATTAAATTTTCCAACTTTGCGGTTAACCAAAATAATACCTTCGCTATAAAAACGTGTATGATATTATTTTGCTATTTTTAAAGCAATATTAAAGTGAAAATTATTACAAAATAATAAAAAAAAAATTAAGAATTAAAATTAAAAATAATTGTTATAAGAGTTAAAATTAAAAAATTAAAATTAATATGAAAGTTAATTAATTGTTTTCTTATTTTTATTGCAAATAATTATATAGAAATTACTAGATAATTTCGAATTTTATAATTCATCAACAAAGCACTAAAATCTCAACTGAAGCAAATTTAATATGAGAAATTAAAAACTTTTTGCACTGACATTAATTTTTAATGAATTAAATTCTGTCAACAATAATGTAAGTCAAAATTTTATTTACTTCAATTCTCATATTATGTACAAATTATGATTATATACTAAGTGCCCGTTTGTTAAATTTCAACTCAAATTTTTGAGTGAAGTATATAACAATTCAACTCAAAAAAATTAAACTAAACAAAAATCACTCGAGAATTTGAGAGAAATAAAAAAGAGTGTTTCTTCAAAAATAGTATAGCAACTTATTTTCAGCAACAAAAACTTTCCGCAATACTTGTTAAGTGTTACCAGAATAAAAATTGTGGTACAATCTTAATATATTTCTTTTAGTACTAAATATTAATAAACAATATGTTTGAATGTGTTTGTAAAATCAACGTGTGTAATTTTTTTTTATACTTAATAGTGAACAACTTTGAAAATGTAATATGAGAACCTTGAGAATCTTACTCAATATTTTGAAAATTCTTATATCATATGATTAGCTTTCCAATATAAATTTCTCATTAAACATATTATTCTCATTGAGTTTTTTTTTGTGACGTTTGTTTATTTATACGCCATATCATTTGTTATTGTATCTTATTCTTATACCATAGGGCATGGAAATGGAATAGTATTTATCATAGTATCGTTTATTGATGCTTTAATTTTTTACACCTGATGATGGGGGAGAAATTGCTGCGGGTGTGTGCATATTAAAAAAACGAAACATGCATACACGTTTTTTATATGTATGCATAAAATAAATTAAGTGATGAGGTTGAGGATATGCCTTATATTTATTTAAAAGCGGATATAATAAATAATAAAATATAGGGAATTATAAACAAAAATTTTCTTCTTAAAATTAATAATTGTAATAAAAAAAAAATTATTGATTTTAAAGCAAATTTCGTGTACTCATATAAAAAAAAATTATTAGAATTTTAAAATTCTTGGTAATAAGTAGGTTTATGAGACTGTCGTGCGTTTAATTTTAGTTAAAATATATATGTATATACATACATATATTTTAATTATATTGGATTTATGGAGTACAAAAGCGTCCTTGTGAATCTCTTTACAAAATTTAAAATTTCCTCGAAATAAAAATAAAGGATATTGGCTCGTAAAACGTAAATTTTGTTGCTTATGATGAGTTCATTAAACTCATGGGGTCGAATGGAATAATATGTTATATGTGTATGTATACTATAAATACATGTGCGATTATGAAGCCTACATGCATATACATATGTATATATAATTTGTATATGTATAACTTACTGTTATATACATTATAATATCGCAAAAAAATTGTATATTCTGTTTGAGGCAAGTAACATAATTTGAAAAATTAAAGAAAATTATGTATGTATAGATAAATTGTGATAACAAATTTATATATACAAATTTATGCAATATACAAAAGTCTGACCATAAAATATTGTTAATCAAATTATCAAAATTAAAATTTTTTAAATTGTTATATCCTTTTTCTTGTTTAGTTTTTGCCTTGTTATAAAATCAACAAAAGTTATTATGAAATTAAAGTTTATCCACACTATTGTTATTATTACTCTTCTGCACGTAGAAAATATATCAATGAATGAGTTCTAAAATTTTCATTTACGCACACAATTAAATAAATTCATGAGAAATGTAGTAAAGAGAGAAGCGATAATAACAAAGTGAGTAATATAAATTTAGTACTAAAATGTTCTATTAATAAGAGTAGTCGCTAATGAAAATATTTTTTTTGTAGCTGTAAGAAAATCAAATGTGTATCACAAAATTGGTGTTTTGTATAAAAATAAAATTTATTATTGAATTTTGCTTTATTATTGGTAGCTTTTGTATTATCCGTATATTATGAGCTTGGTAACCAAATGTTAATAATATAGACATTTATATAAAATTTCAGTATAAAATTTTTATAGTATTATAGCCACATTTTTATAGTATATAGCCTCATTATTGTCACAGAAAAGTGAATGTAAGGAAAAACGAGTAAAAGACAAAAATTACCTTTCACTAAAGAAAAAATTAGTGAATAATAAGCAGCTCTTTCATTCATTTTGTTTTTATAATGACACCGAACTTTCATATAAAATTACTTTACATAATGGCAACCATTTTCGACAATTCAAATTTTAATGATGTGACACCAAAGATGATTATCATTCATTTTTATAAAAATGTGAATGATGAAAACAATGACGACAGGCTAATATTTTAAATTATTATAATGAACATAAATGCATCAAAGGTATCATAAGTACTACATAATCATCATAGAAAATCTAAAAATCTAACTCTTAATTCATATTCATATATAGTATAATTACAGGCATGTAGTATAATTTTGTCATTATAAAAATTACAAACACATACTCACATACATATATGAAATTTATTTATTCCTTCTTTTTTACAAAAGCATTTATTTTGTGTTGATTCTTTCTCAATTTCAGTTAATCGAAAGTGCTTGACTAATTCGTATCTTCGTTAAATTATAACATAGATTGGATTTTCGTAAATATTCTCTATATAAAAGAATTCGGTTTGTTTTTCTTTTCGTTTGCTAAATTTAACGGTAGATTCGTAGAGCCAAAATATTATAAAGAAAAAAGAAGAAGAAAAAGAAAGTAAAAAAAAAATCAAATATTATTTTAAAAAAGCGGAAAATAAAAATTAATTTAATTTTATATTACAAAAAAAGAAAAAAATTCTAAGAGTTAATTGTTTCCCTCCATTATCGTTTTTATTTTACATTGTTTTTTTTTTTTTTGTTAAAATTACAATATTTTTTGTATTTTGGTGATTTGTAATAAAATTGTGTTTTTCGTTTATGCTTTATGATTTAGGCATTTTATCAAAAAAAAAAAAATTGTATGAAATAAAAATAAACAAAAGAAAAGGAAAAAGTAAGAAAAATAAATAAAATGTTTTTTAAATACATAGATAAACTGTTATACTAAATAATATGGAAAGTGATTATAGAACACATATAACATATAGACGTACATATATTATGTATACTTAGTATAAGAAATTAAAGAATACAACAAAATCATATCAATTAAGAAAATAAAAAAATATCACAAATAAATATTTTTAAATATAGCCTATGATTTATACGTGTACACCATGTATCAAATATAGAATCTATATAAGTAAAGCAGAATCAAATAATTTCTGTCATATTTCTGTATAGAGATCATAAATTCTAAATTATTTAAGAGCATTCGTTTGCTTACACAAATATTTATAGAAAATATTAATTTTTTTTTGTTTTTCTCATTATTATAACAAATTTATAATGATTATATTAAGGGGAAACAAAAAAATATTTGTGTAAAAAATTTTTGGTTTCAAGAATATAAGAAATGTTAGATAAAGAAGCTTATCATAATGAAATTTCTTAATTTAATGGAATTAATGTGATCTTGACAATTTTAATTAAATTATTGCCATAACAATAATAATAAAAGATTTATGACATTTTATTAAGTAAAAATTTAAAAATAAAAAAAAATTTTGAATGTTTAAGTGTATGTTGTACTATGTAATTTAACGGTACTTTTAAATATAAATAAAAAAGTGTAATTTAAGAATTAGAAATTATTATTTTAATTATTAATAAAATTATTTTTATTATTATATGCATTTGAAATTTATTTGGAAAATATTAATGTTAAATTTTCTGAATACAGGGTAGTTTGGCTCTTATTTTAAACCATATAAGTATGTTACGATTTATATGTCTAGGTACTTAAAATTAAAGGAAATTTTAATATAATTGCACATTAGCCACAATACTGCAATATTTTGGAAATCATATAAGTAAATACGTTAATCTCCCACTTACAGCAACAGTGACAAAACTCAAAAAATGCGATTTTTTAATTTATATAGAAACAAAGCTTAAATATTGTCGCTAACAATACATTATAAAAAAATGCTATACATAGCGAACAAATTTATATTAATCCCAAAACTTTAATTAAAATTTGCTTTTCTTAAATGTGAAAATTTTGAGTTATATCATTGTTGAAATAAACAAACGATTTAATAATTTTTATTAAAGTTATAGTTTAAAATTTAAAATTTGATTTAAATCAAATTATTATAATTTAAAATTTATATAATTAATTCTTATTTAATTATTTATTGTAGTAAATTTTGAGAGTGTTAACAAGAAATCATCAGGAAATACATTGTAGTAATTTCTGAAATATTGCAATAATGGTATGCTTATAAATCAAAAATTTAATATTGAAATTTATTTTGTTATTGTGCTAAGGGTGTGATATTTATATGGCATACTAAGTATGTGTATGCATTATATATACACATACAAATTCATATTTACAAAATTACTCTTAATGAAAATTACAATTCTAATAAAATTTAATTTTGTATAATAAGTGGAAGAATATTTTTGGTCTTAAGTACTTTCACAGATAATTTTCGGTTTTTAATCTACATATATATATGTTTATATTTTGTTAAACCACAGACCCACTCAGAAGTTGCTTACATTTTTCTTCTTTTAATTTTTTTTTATTGGAGCCATAAATAGCTCCAGAAATTATTAAAATTTATTGAAAATATATATAGAAATAAAAATAAATTTTGAGTTCTTCCAAAATATTTTCGATACTGTTTTTTAAGCTTGAAATTCTTAACATACTTGCAATTTATTTTGTGATACTTGCACTTGTATATCATATTTTTTTTATTTATAAATAAAATAATATATGAAACGCACAATATTTTATACAAATGTAATAATATACTTATATGGAAGGTATCAAGTGGATATGTAAAAAATCCATTATACGAGTATATAAATAAGTCATCCATAAAAATAAAATAGATTTTGTTGATAAATTGATATGTCGATGGTATATATACTTATATATGTATGTATGTGTGTATGTATATTATAAACAAAATCGCTATTTTTATATTTATTATATTATATTGAAATACGTCTATATGAAATTGAAATAAAAAACGAAAAACTTTAATACAAAAATAAAAATAGAAATTGCTGTGGTCGATAACTTTTTTATTTACTATATTTTATTTTATATTAAAAAACAAAAATCAGTGTTTTTTTTTTATTTTTAGAATCATTATTTTTGTAAGTTAAATTTTTTTCTCCTGTTTTCAAATTTTTTTGTATACTCGTAGTAATTGAAATCAATTTAGATTTATGTGTTTAAATTACTAGCACACCCTTTAAATATTAATTTGAATATCGTCACTCATCAGTTGTTTTGTTAGTATTGTCATCGTTATTTGAAAAACAATTTTTTTTTAATTTACGATATTATACGATATTGCATACGACATTATGTACGATATTACATATTTTTTTGTGCGAACCTTACAAATTATAATTTGAATTGTTTAGCAATATAGACCAAAAAATTGAAAATATCATTTGCAAAGTTCATTGAAAAACAATCCTAATTTAAAATGCGGTCGACTGTACATTATACTCGTATTGTACAGTCTAACACGATTGTAATAACTGGTTGCATACTATTATGTTTAAAATTAGGGATTAATGCGCAGTTATTGTTGACTGCTTTTGCAAATGACATTTCCGATTAAAGAACAGTATTACAGCAATTTCTATATCAGGGTATGAAGTTTTATCATACAATAAATTTATTCTCCAATAGCAATACTAAATGTACACAATATTAAAAATTGTGATTTAAAATAAGAAGACACCTGTATTTAGATATATAAAAAACTACCTATAGTTATACATGAAATACATAAATAATTTCATGTATGGTTATAAAACAAATAATTGAAACTATTATATTTAATGATCTAAAATTTATAAATCTAATTAAAAGTTCTGTTTTTCATGAATGGTTTAAAATATTTAATTTAAAAATATAAATATATAATAAAAATAATAATAGCAATAAAATAATGTTCACTTACAATTTAAATTTAACAAGAATAAAAAACAAAAAGCAATAATAAATTTTACATGTTGGCAACAATCCAAACATAAAAAATAAAATTACCTCATTTAATTTATATTATAAATTATAACAAATTAAATAAGTTAATTATAAGGAAAAAATACAAACTCTACAAATTTTACCTTATTAAAAACAAAAATTGTCTTTTTTTTAAATTTAAGAACGCAATTGTGCTTTTTTTTCAAATTGATTTTTTCACCTTAAATGGTTACATATACATACTTACATGTATATATACAATGTTACAATATAAAATTCATTAATTTTAAATGATTACAATCTAAAAAAATTTAATAATAATTTTTTGTTTTTGTTTCTAGGTTTTTTTCTTATAACACATACATACATACTTAAATTAAAATTAATTGTACGAAAGAAGAAACAATACAAAAAAAAATTTGTTTGATTAATTCTTTTCGAAAAAAATTAAATACTCATTAAAAAATACTTTTATGAATGTAAAACCATTATTATTTATATGACATAATAATAGTAGTAACAGTGCGATAATAATCATATTTAAGTGACATACTTACTCACATTTTATATAATAAACGACAAAGATTATTGTTTTGTGCAGTTTACTATTATTTAAAAGGTAAATAAATTTTTTATATAAAATTAATTTAATTTTTGTTATACATATTAAAATTATTAATAATAAGCAATTATTTCAATCCCAAAATACATACTAAATATTATAGAATTTTTTGATATTCCTTATTATTATAATAAAATTTAGAATAAAGTTTTAAATAATATGAGAGTATATTAAATTCAGTTATTGGCATACTCATCGCACCATCGTGCACCCATTTTATATACATTTTAAGTCGAAGAAGCAAGGTTGAACAACAGCGCATTATTTAAAGAGCTTTTCTCTCCATAATTAGTAATGTTAATATTATAGGTGGAACTAGAAGAATTTGACAGGAGATTAGCTTTTGTTAACTGAAATTACAATTCATATCAGATAAGATTTTTTGAATATTCATCTAGTCGTTTATTTCCATTTACATCTGTTATACTTCCGCCTAAAAACCTAAAATGATAGAAAATGTTTTAAAAAGATGTAGAGATATAAAATGCTCTTGTATTATAAATAATGTTGTTTTTGATAAAGATAACAAGATTGCCTGATATCCAAGTTCCAGTAGCAAGTACAATTGTATTAAACATTGTACAATTAATTAATAGCAATCCTTAAACCTAAATTATGTAATAATACAATATAACTGGGATTTGAATGTCAGGGTTTGTACCATAATATCAAAATACAAGTACAAATAAAATTTTTCGGGTATTCGTTCAGGAAAAACCATTACATTTTTATGTAATGTGCCCCCATAAATTTTATTTGTTTCTTTAAAAAATAGCCATGATTCACAAAATGCTATTAAATTTCAAAATTTTAATTAATTGTAGTGGAAAGTCATTTACATTTGTTTTTATTTTTTCATATTTTGGGGAATTACTATTACTAATTTACTGTAAAATTTGTTTAAATAAATTTACTTATAGATAGAACCTCTTACCATAACATGAAGTGAATTAAAGTTATTAAATTTTTTTCATTTTATGTACATTAAAGGTTTTATAATTCTATTGCTTTTATTAATTGTAAAAATTTAAGTATACGCAAGGTGTATAAAATTGATGTTAAAGATACAAGTATAAAATTTTTTCTAGTTGTATTTGTGTTTTGAACATAGTGATAAACTTTCAAACAAAATTTAATGAATGAATAGAAAATGCTGTTTTTACTTTGATATAAAGATTAGACATAGACTATTATAGCCGTGCGAACAATATTATAAAATTACCACTCCGTTCATAATGCTTGGACGTATAAAATATTCTGAGTTGATTTGACAATGCCGGCCCATCTGTTTGTCTACAGATAACTGCAAAATTCCTAACCAATTTTTGGAAGTTGTGAAAATTAAATTAGTACCACACGCAACACATTATAATAGGCCATTATTTCAAAAAAATTTGGTTGAGGTTGAATATGTTTTTACAATAGCGGCTACCCAACTTCAAAAACAATTTTGCTTCAATCCAAGTTCCAAATCCATGCAAATTTTAGAATGGAGTTTAATAATAGAAAAGAATAACCAGAAATCTAATATAGGAGCTTTTAAAATCATGTTGTTAATTGTTATAACATTCGTATGGGTATTTCAGAATTGATGCGTCTAACTCCATCTTTTCTCGTCTTTAGTAGGTAGTATTAATATAATTATTATACAAAAGTATACCCACAAAATACGAGTTTTGAACATACATATATAAAGCAAAAAACATGCATACTTATTATGGAAATGTTGAGACCTCCAAAATTATAAACAATATATGTAAATATAAAGAATTTTATTCAACAATGGAAAAACGACAAATCCTTTACAGAATTTTCCATTCTAAAAACATTTTTAAACAAGTTAAAGAAAACTAACCATAAAATAATTTTTTTTTACCTCAATTCAACAATATTTTTTCTGTTTGTATAAAATAAAAATTGAGATTTTTAATTAAAATAAACAAATAAAAATGAAATTTATACAACAATAAGTTGAAAAAAAAAAGAAAAACATAATGAAAATTTTTTATTATACACACCTGTCTTACAAAATCCCTAAAAATATTTTCATTTCTCTAATTTTTATAATTTATATCTTTTTAAACATACTTAAATATAGCGAGTTTAAATATTTATTCATTGATGAATAATTTTTCGAATTTCCCTCTAAAATAGCTATGTAAAATGAAAAAAATGTGTAAATTGTAAACAATTTACTAAAATTATTCATAAAAACTCAATACTTACTTATTATTTTCCCAAAAAATTAATACCTTCACAATATGAGTTTAAACAAAAACCAATTCATTCTTACGCGCATTCATTCTCTTCATTTTTATACGCGTATTTTAATTATAAAGATGTTTTTAGAATTTATACAAAAAATATTCTTTGTATTAATAAGCAATTTATATTTAAAAATTTTAAACTTTGCTAATTTAAATTTTTTATTAAAATTTAAATAACAAATTTCATTGTATTTAACACAAAATTTTTATTATTGCTTACCGCCGAATTGTTATTGATTATTTGGATAATTAATAGAGTCAACAACAATTTAAATTTTATTTTCTCGGTTCATTAAACAATATTATTAACCCTTTAACTATAGGTTTACATCTGGCGTATAGATTTTTAGCTGGTCTATATCTCGAAATTTCAAATTACTTATCTCCGTATTTTTAAATACAATAATGTGATTGTTGTATAAACTGCCCGTATAAACCGCCTCTAAGTCTGTTAAACTTAGTCAAACTTCTGAAGGAATAAAATCCACTGGAGTTAACCTCTGCCAATCCGGTTTCTTGTGTTACAATGCAGTCAGATGCATGTTTTTGGTGTTCTTTTTATTGGAGATATCGTGAAAGCATATTTGGGTAGCAGTTTCCGAACGTTTAGGAAACTCCTCCCAAACAATTGCGACGTCGGGCAACCAATACCGGGCAATCGCAAAGGAAGTGTATGGCGTTTTCGTCACTGTCTCCAGGGATAGTCCAATTTTCTGAGCTTATGCAGGCGATATTTTACTTAGAGTGGGTCAGTAAAGAAATTCGTAATAGTTGTTATAATTTTTGTACGATATACTCTTAATCTACACTTTTAAAGATTATTTTTATAAATTTCAATCCATTGAATGTTTATCTCAACCCGTAGGAATTAAAGTTTAACAATTCAAAATTCGTTGTCTCTTAAATAAATAAAAGAAAAAATTGAATGGAAAACTTTGTAACAAGTCCCATTAAAATAAAATCCAGCAAATTGGTGTAAATTTTTTATGAAAACCCATCGACTGCGTCAATTATTTATCTATATTCTTTTTCTTAATTATTAAAATTTTTATGATTTTTTTTTGGACGAAAAAAATCTACCCAGATTGAAAACCTTTTTTGTTTTTCTTTTCGTAATAATTAATCTAATTTACGAGAAAATGTCCCCTCTTCTCTATATTTTTCATTTTAATTATATTAACAATGATTTTTTTTGAAAAATTATTTCTTAAAAGAACATTTATAGCAAAAAATAAAAAATAAATAAAATTCTCATTTTACGATTTCAAATTTCAAAAACTATCAACAATAATATAACATTGTACATTGAGGTCGAGAAAACTTATTTTACTATACACAAAAGCTACTCGTAACAGAGTAGCACCAAATATAAAGGTGAAAATGGATTATTCTCGTATGTACAACCGCATAAACGATTTGTATTGAATGAATCGTATCTAACGAGAGTGCTTATGAATATCATTTTTATCTTCTCGTTTGATATTTCATAGTATGTTTGTAGTAAATTATAATTTTGCTAAATAAAAAATAAAAAAAAAAGTGGTCAAGGTTGTGTATAACATGCCTGAAAAAAAACAGCTAAAATAAAATTCTAATTTGAGGCAACAACAACAAAACAAAGAAAAATAAATTTAACAACAACAATGTTATAAAGTTTCATCTATTGAAATCTTTTTTGTGAAATGTGATTAAACAAATAATTTGCGGAAAATAAGCATTTATGTAGTAAATTGGGATCAAGCTAATGCTTTGTAAAGTAGCATATTTCTCTTGACACAATGAAAATATCGCTTTTAAAAGTAACTCTTGGGCTTATGTAATTCTCATAGATACCTGCATTAATACAGCAGTATTATAACAATTCCATCTCAGGTTTTCCAATCACGATAATATCAAAATATGTACATTATAATTATTGCCTACTTTTAGGATTATAACCAAACATAATAGATGCATTACTGTCTGCTCTTCCAAATTTAAAAAACGTTTGTGATTTCTGTGCAGTAAAAACAAAAAGTGGAAGGCAATAAACATTGTAGGGGAAAAAAAAAACAATTTAGCACTTTAAGAGACAAAAATTTTGGAGGTGATGAGTGATTGGTGGAGTTCGATAATAGTTTTCTTCTAGTGAAACTGATTTTTATCTAATTTTAGCTTTGTTTTCAAGCCTGCAGACGGACTGATGGGCGAATACGCGAAATGAAACTTATAGGCACATTTTCTTTTAATTTTCTTGGAAATCAGCTAAAAATAAAAAGAAATACAAACCGTTTAGAGCATATTTTCAATAAAGAATGTGTGATTTAATGAAAAGGCCATTTTTGCTTTTCCTCTTACCTTATAAATATTTGTGAAAATTTTAAAAAATTTCCTCTTTTTCTAAAAAAGAATTTTGCAAAATCGAAATCAGAACAAAGACCTCACTGTTTATTATGAATCACTTGACGAGAAATAGTATATATGTAATTAAGCATGTAAAATTTAAATTAAAGCATGCGAGTGAATATACATAAATGACTCTTCCTGAAATGAGGGATAAAATACCAAATATGTTTTTGTTTTTAAATTGATAAATTATATTAGGTTGTATAAATTTTGAAAAGGAATCACCCATTTTTTTTTGGTTTTGTTTGTTTTGATATTACTTATATGGCAATGACTCAATGCCAGCGCAAATCATTTAATTTTATATACTTAAGAGAACGCATTTCTATAAACAAAGGCAGGAAA